GTGTTGACAGATGTTTTATGATATTTCTATAGATTATGATCAAACATGAATGATGGTAATAGTAATTTGGGTTTATCAAACACATACTCTGTTCCAGGCCCTGTGTAAAATGATTTAAAAGTAGATTTTCCTTCTTATTCTTTACCATAACCTTATGTAGGATTATTATGTTTCCTCTGCTTTTATGTGTGAGGAAATGAGAAAAAGGAAGCTAAGCAGTTTGCACAGTCACACCAACTAGCAAATGTAGGTAACAGGAATGGTGAATTGAAAGACTCTGAACCCTCAGGCTCTGCTGACCCTGCTCTGTCCTGTGGTCACATAGCTGCATCTGCTGCTGTCCTGCAGTGCTTGACCTTCCTGAGGGTCCCCAGTTGAGACATGAGCCTGATATGTTAAAGGACGTCTATGGGATTTCTTTTAAGACTCTACAGGTGCTTTGATCTGTAGCCTTCACTCTTCAGAAAGGCAGAGGTAGCAAACATCTTGTAAACCACCCTTTGTGCATCCATAGCTACATCAGTGATACACAGCAGCACACAGTCAGGAGCCGAGCCTACAGTGTCCACAGTCCTGGCAGTGTCTCCCAGAACTGCCTCCTATGGAGTGTTTGCCCACAGGCAGCATTTATAGTCCTTGCCTTTGTCATCAAGTGTCTCCCGTATATCTCTGCTGTTTAAGCAACCAGTCAGACTGGATTGGGCCCATCCTACCCTGCTATGACTTTTTCTTAACTAATTATATTTGTTAATGGCCCTGTTTCCAAATAAGTAACATGCTGAGTACCAGGAACAAATTCTCCAACACATCTTTGTGGAGGAAGACACAGTTAAACTCATAACATTTCCTGGGTTCCACCTCATCAGTATACTCCCTCTGCCACAATGCTAACAAAGAGCGTTTTTGATAAGCACCATTCCCAGATGAGAGCCAAGAGTTTCTGATACACTCAAACAGCCCTTCTTTGCCTAGACACATCTATAACATGTTAACCTTCCAGCCCTTGTTCTTTTTTAAAAAAAAAATATTTATTTATGGGGCTGGAGAGATGGCTCAGTGCTTAAGAACACTGAATGTTCTTGCAGAAGACCCTAGTTCAGATCCCAGCACCACATGGCAGCTTACAACTGTCTGTAACTCCAGTTCTAGGGGATCCAACACCCTCTTCTGACCTCCACGGGCATTGCATGATACAGGTGCATGTCATACATGCAGGCAATAAACGCATACACATAAAATAAAAATAATAAATATTTTTTATAATTTACTTTGTGTGTGTGTGTGTGTGTGAGTGTGTATGTGAGTGAGCATGCATGCACACATGTGCACATGGCACTGTGTATGTGGATACTAGAGTCAATTCTCTCCTTCTACCATGTGGCTTCTGGGGCTCAAACTGAAGTCCCTAGGCTTGTGACAAGCCCCTTTACCTACTGAGCTGTCTTGCTGACCAAAGCCCTGGTTCTGAGTGCTCATGTTGATTCCTTTATTACTGGGTCTGAGTCAGTGGACACAAAGCCAGCATGCAGATCTTTTCCTCTTTCACCAAGATGTTCTCCTGCAAGCTGCAACCTATTTGCTTTATAGAGCAGTTACTTCTTCCATATTGTCTTATATTAATTCTCTTTCAAGTAGTTCTTTTATAGAAGGCCTGTAAGAACTCTCCCAAAACTCAATAATGCTGAAACAGCTCTCCTTATATTGCAGTTCTTGATTCATGGTATCAGAGCTCCTAAAACTTGACCTTCCTGTCTGACACAATGTATCATCTTAGTTCATTTTGTGTTGCTGTAACAGAATGCCACAGACTGGGTAGCTTTTAATGAGTAGAAATGTATTGACTCCTGATTCTGCTGGAGGCCTGAATGTCAAAAATTGAAGGACTGGTGTCTGAATAGGGCTTTCTTGTTTACAGAAAGCAACTGGCAAGTGACATGTGCAAGCAGGAGCTGAACTCATGTATTCCATAAGGAATCCTCTCCTGTGCTACACCATGAGGGCAGGACTCTGATGGCCTGATCACCTTTCTCCAGATCCTGTCAACACTGTTCACTGTGGACTAAGCACCCAATACATGCTTTGTGGGAAATATTCAAACCATAGCAAGAATATTCTTTTTTTTTTTTTTTTTTGAGACAGGGTCTCCCTATAGTCCCAGCTGGCCTGGGACTCACTATGTAGACCAGGCTTGCCTCGAACTGAACAGAGATCCACCTGCCTCTGCCTCTCGAGGTCTGGGATTAAAAGCGTGTGCCACCACACTGGGCTAGCAAGAATATTCTTCTTTTTTAAATTTTTTATTTATTTATTTATTTTAATGTGTATATGTGTGCTGCCTGCATGTAGGTAAGTGCATCCGTGTTGTGCAATGCCTGCGGAGGACAGAAGAGGCTGTTGGATCCCCTGGAACTGGAGTTATGGACAGTTTTTACCTGCCATATGGGTGCTGGGATTCAAACCTGGGTCTTTGCAAGAACAGCCAGTGTTCTTAACCACTGAGCCATCTCTCCAGCCCCAGCAAGAATGTTCTTAAAGACTCCCTCCCTTAAATGAATTGATTTTTTTGTGTGTGTCTTTCTGAAATCTTAATGTACCTATATAAGAATCAGGCTATAGTTTTTGTCTTTTTTTAAAATTTTATTACTTTTATTTTATGTGTATGCATGCATTGCCTGCATGTAGGTAAGTACACCCATGTCGTGCAATGACCGCGGAGGTCAGAAGAGGCTGTCAGATCCTCTGGGACTGGAGTTACGGACAGTTGTTAGCTGCCATGTGGGTTCTGGGCTATAGGTTTTAAGAACATAAGTTTTAAAAGCAAGTATAATTTTTAAGGAACATTCTGGAAAGAATAAAGACTATTATAAATAAGAAGTTCTGTTGTCATTGCTCTAAATCCTCTCATTAAGCTTCAGGGTTGCCTCTTCCTTCTAAATGGTTCCAAAAGCAATTTGTGTTTGTAGCTAAAGTGTCCTGACCAGTGAGGCAGCTGGTGCAGAAGGAAGGGGTCGTGACTTTTCCAGGGTCACAAGTCAGAGGCAGAGCCACAGTCATTCAGCTACTGAACAGAACTTGAGCAAGTGGAAGACTGTTTCGTTCGACTATGATGTTTTGAAGTCTGATCTAAAGAAGTAATTGTTGCCTAGGTCAAGCTGATATGCAGATGATGGATTTTGATCGGCTCTGAGGATGTGGGAGAACTGTGCAAAGTTCTTGGTGCACCACGTAATAATGTCATCAGGAGGAGTGTCCAGATTTCCACTGGGAGATGCAATTTGTAGGTTTCTATGAAAGCAATTTTAGGGCAAGAATTTATTCATACTCTATTTCATCAGTGCCCTCTTTTCTCATAAGACATCTTACTATAAAAGGCAATTTAAATTTTTCATTCATTTTTGTTTTGTAAAAAGGCCAGAAACTAATGTATCTTACCTGCTGCTTAGCACCATATTGATGCCCCCAAATGACCTGCCATTGTGAAAAACTGTTCTCCAAAAAGACTGCTGAATGTAATGCGTGTTCTTTCTTTCCTTTTCTAGCCAAGGACCCTTGTCATCCATTAGAGCAGTAATCAAGAGATGTAAGTTTGTTTTTTCCTTCTCTTTAATTTCCCTGTAATAATTTTAAATGATGGTTTAGATTCCCATCAAGATATTGTATATGATGAATCTATAAAGGACCCAACAAGTATAACTTCTCCTAAGAGGTAATAAAACATTTCAGACAAACGGCTAGGTTTTTACCTGTCATTTGTTGATAGATCAGAATTATACTTTTCCCTCATAGAATCAAGCAACTCAAAAAACAAAACCTGGAGCTGGGTATAGTGGCACATGCCTATAATCCCAGCCCTTGGGAGGTAAAAACAGGAGGACCAGGAGGACCAGGAATTCAAGGTCACCCTTAGCTATGTAGCAAGTTTGAAGCCAACATGGGCTACATGAAACCCTGTCTCCAGAAACCCCCCTCCCGAAAAAAAAAAAAAAAAAAAAAAAACTAATTGAACCTAGAACTGTAGTATCTATGATCAAGATAGAATTTTATGTAACAGTTTTATAAAGATATCTGCTGAGATTAAAAAATTAAACCCTGTCCTTTTTGGTTCATTTGCTTACAATATTTTTTTGTTTGATTGGGGGGGGTGTTCATTTTTTTTTCTTTTTTTTTCAGTCTTTTTGAGACACGGTCTCCCTGTAGCCCCAGCTGGCCTGGAACTTGCTGTGTAGACCAGGCTGGACTTGAACTCAACAGAAATCCTCCTGCATCTGTCTCCCTAGTCCTGGGATTAAACGGATGTACCACCACACCCAGCTTCTCCTTAAAATATTTTTAAAGCTATACAAATGCCTATAAAGACAAACTCCTACTTCTGTATGTAAAAATGGAAATGCTGCAAGTGGGACCCCCCCCAAACTACACATTTATATTTTGTCTTTACCTCTTGGCTAGAGTAATTTGTATGGGGCTGGAGAGATGGTTCAGCAATTAAGAGCACTGGCTGTTCTTGCAGAGAACCCGAGTTCAATTCCCAGCACACACATGGCAGCTAACAACCATCCTTATCTCCAGTTCCAGGGGATCTGCCTCCACAGGCATTTCATGACACGAATGCACTTACATATATGTAGGCAATACACTCATACATATAAAATAAAAATTATAATAAATATTTTTTAAAAAGAAATGTAATTTGTAATGTTTTGTATGAAATTAAGACATCCACAGGTCATGAAGAACATGGAGTTGAATCATTCCAGTGAAAAGTTTATGATGGAAATCTATAAAAAGATGCCGTCTTAGAGCTGGGGATATGGCTCAGCAGTTAAGAGCACTTGCTGCTCTTTCAGACGTCTGGAGTTCAGTTCCCAGAGCCCCACCAGACTGCCCACAAGTACCAGTAACTCCATCTTCAAGGGATCTGACAACCCTCCTCTGGCCTCTGAGGGCACACATGCACACAGACAAACACACACACACACACACACACACACACACACACGTAAAACAAAATCTGCCATCTTTCTCCATTCTGCTTCTTTCTTTGTTTTGTTTTGGTGGGGATGAAGGGACGAATTATAAAGATGTAGAAATGTTACAGGGTATATTGAAGGAAATTCAAATATTAAAATGGAAAAGTTCATGATAGATTTTTATCTTGGAACTCTTGGTGGTATTGAAACATAAAGGGCAGGAAGAGAATTTAAATAGGAAGTCAGGGCCCAGAATTTAGGCAAGAAGTTCTTGGCTAGAGGTACAATTTAGGTAGTCAAGGTTATAGTAGCTAAACATTTAAGAGAAAATGTACAAGAAGAGAGATGGTGACAAGGGACAGAGTGTTGTGATGTCTGAGATCAAGCTGTGCACTTTAAGGGATAATAATGCAAAAGATGTGTGGTCATCTCACTTAAAGCCCAGCCTGTGGAGGTGGGGAAGGGGAAGGAGAAAGAAGGTACTGGCCGCCCTTCCCCTCCCCTCCCCTCCCCTTCCCTTGGATGGCAGGATTTGGTTAGGAGTCCTATTTTGTACCTGACTTCCCAAAAGTTCTCCAGGGTGGATTTTGCTTCAGACTGGGTAAGGAAGAGAAGGCAGCTGGGGAGAAATGGGTAAAACAAGCCAAAAAAAAATGGAGTAGTAGAAAAACCAGAAAGCAGTTGTCAGTGAGAGACCAAAGGAGATTTTGGAAGGATGGATAGGTTGCAGTACAGCCGCAAAGCCAAGCCAGAGTGGCTGAGGATAGGTCACTGTGTGCCGTGCTTGGGAGTGCAGTGGAGACTTCTGAGATAGTGGTTACGGTAAAGTACTTGAACAATGAACAGAATGTGTGGAGTTGGGACAGCTGGGTAAGCTGTGAAATTTTAGGAAATTGGGGGATAACAAAAGAGTTGTTTGAGAATCAGTAGAATGATTCACGGGTTGCTGAGAATGAAGAAACTTGAAAATGTTTGTACACGATGAGGAAGCAATTACTGTGGAAATGACAGGGGCATGAAAGAGGAGGACGGTGGTCACGCAGCCCTGCAGAGGGGAGGAGGAGGAGACAAAGCAAAGGGAAACCTTGGCCGCTAGATTGTTTCCTAACTGTCCCAGTCATCTTTAATTCCTACGTGTCGAGTCACATTGTAAAAACTACAGAAGTATCTGTTTGTATTTGTTCTGATGTTCGACAAAAGGGCCAAACAGATCCAATATGCCTGTTGGAGTAAGCACAAAATGAGGAATAATTATGTCAATCCCTTTTCTCGACACACTTGGGAAGAGGGAATTTCAATTGAGGAATTTACTCTAAGGGACTGGCCTGTGGGCCCGTATATGAGACATTTTCCTGATTGTTGAGTGATATGGGAGGGCTCAGCCCACTGTGTGCCACACCTGGGCAAGTGGTCCTAGGTTGTGTAAGAAAGCAGGCTGAGCCCAGATCAGAGAAGCAAGCCAGGAAGCAGTGCTCCTCCATAGTCTGTGCTTCAGTTCCTGCCTCCAGGTTGCTGCTCTGAGTTCTTCCCTGACTCTGTGATCAACTCTGACCTGAGAGATATAAGGTGAAATAAGCCCTTTTCTCCCTAAGTTGCTTTTGGCCAGTGTTTCATCACAGCAGTAGAACTTTAGCTAAGATACTCCCCCATCCTCCTTTTGCCTATTCTTTAAGAAAAGGCTGTAAATAATGTTGTCTTAGCTAGCCATTTACAATGTGTGCTTTACTAACCCAGATTCAGTCATCTAACCCTGCAATGACTGAAGAGGAGAGGAGAGGAGAGGGGAGGGGAGGGGGAGGGAGAGGGAGGGGGGAGAGGAGAGAGGAGAGAGCCTTTAAGAAAAGGCTGTAAATAATGTTATAAACAGCTAGAGGAACACTGAGTCCAAGGAGGAGAAATGACTTCACAAGGTGAGCTGGCGTATGGCCCTCAGCTTCTGGACTTGAAAGCCTCTGTTTCCACTCTGTGGATACACTTGTTATATATGTCAAATGCATCTACTCACACCCTTCCCACAAATGTGGTCACAGCTTTATTATTATTATTATTATTATTATTATTATTATTATTATTATTATTGTGACTTTCACCAATAAGGTGGTTCTATGACATGCCCCTCATTGCCATGTGACCTTGGGCTGTTTCACTTAACCTCTGCATCTATCTCCTTATGGTTTGAGGACAGTCACTAGAGGTCTGTCCAAGCTTTTGATACTGCTGGAAATTAGAAGATTCCATATCGATGGTAACATTACAAATCTACATCTTAATTCTTTATATACAACCTGTTTTGTGCTTAGAATTTAACCATTTAAAGTAAGAATGTTTCAAAATAATTCTGTATAATGATAGGATATACGTAGCTGATACTGCCTTGATTCTGTGGCATCAACCCAAAATTTCACAGCAGGGAAGTGAAGTTTGGCATACTTGTCTGTGCGTATATGGACATCAGTGATAAATTCCATTCTTCTGGCATCAGCCACATTAGATCTGTCTAATCTGGGAAAACAAAAGTGACATCTATGAGTAGATAGTTTAGAAATTAGCAAGAAGACTGTGAGACGCCATGAAACCTGGTGTTTCAACAGTGGGAGAAAATGATGGTTGTTTTGTAAGGAAAAAAGGGATGTGATGTTATTGAAGAGGAGTAAACAGGGACAATCAGAGGAAGAGGGAAACAGCACATGTCAGAGGCTGTAGAGGAAATGCCATAGGCAGCTAAGACGCCTCTCCTCCCTCCCCAGCACTCAACTGTCAGAGGCTGGAGGTGGGGGGAGTTCTAACTCACAACCTCTGGTATAAAATAGTAGAATCAAATTAAAAGCCACTCATTTAAAAGAATGTAAATTGACTATTAAATTAACTTTTAAGTGCTATGCATCTTCAAAATTGATCCCTATTGAAGTAGCAAATTGAGTTTGCCAAATGGTTTTTAGATTTTTTTTTTTCACTGTAGATAAAACTACAGGCAGAATTTTGGACTGTGGTTAAGTGTGAATGATCTAGTCTGTAAAGACAAATCTTTGCACCAACTTATTTCTTTAGCCTCTGAAACTATGATTCATCAACTCTTCTTTTCCATTTACATGTGCAGAAAATTTTAACATTTTTACCCTCAAGGGAATCGTTAGAATATACTCTTTGAAAGTAGAGATAATCTCTATTACATGAAAAATTGACATGGCAAGACAGTCTTGTTTCTGAATTCCTTATAGAGCATTGGCAACTGGTTCACTCTTTTCTTCTCCCCTTCCTCTTCTGTAACCCCTTCTTTTTCTCCCTTAGCACTCATGAATAGTACACAGCAAAATGCCCCGTGGAAGAGGTATGTTTACGCAGTAAGGTGAAGACCTGTAAAAGTGCTGTGTCTGATTCCAGCTTTAGTGACGATGGTGGTGATGTGATTTTAACACACGCGGGTGAGCTTCTGACTCAATGAAACTGCTTACCAATCAGACGCAATATACCGAGCTCTAACCTCTTCTATGGAATAAACAAACGGACCTCAGTGTGGTTTGGCTCTGATATAAACACAGTCAGTAGAACCAGTTGATGCTGTGAGCATCATCTTGTAACTCAAGATCCATGCATGGATTTGAGTTTCATACTTGCGGTTCGCTTTGCCAGCCCAGTACAAGTTCAGCTGTCCCAGCTCTAATCCTAGTCTAAATTTCACTCCCACCTCACCTGTATCTCCCTTAGCTCTGGCAGCCTTGGGCCAGAAAAAAAGTAGAAAATAATAGGAAGATGGAAAAAAAAAAGATGCATACTTTCATTTTGTTCAAATCAGAAACATTGGAAGAAGGAGAATGTGGAGACAGGGTGAAAGCAACTGGTTCAAATAGTTTATATCTCGGAGCTGGAGAGATGGCTCTCAGCAGTTAAGAGCATATACTGCTCTTGCAGAGGACACAGGTTCAGTATCTAGTACCCACATCAGGTGGCCCACCATCTGTAACTCCAAGGGTACCTATACTCATGTGCACATGCCCTCCTACATACATATAATTCAAAAATAAAAGTAAATATTAAAAAATAGTTTGTATCTCAAGCAGATTCTCCTCATGCATAAATTTTTATAGTAGAATATTTGAAGCTTTCCCTACAAAGGGATCTTTAGAATGCACTTCTTGAAAATAGATATTCTGTTATATAATATATAATAGAGATTCTGTTATATATAAACTGACCTCCATATGTGACATTTTCCATATTGTCTGACTGAACTGGTTTGCTTTATATATTTAAGCATGGAGTTTTTTTCTTTTTTAGACAGGGTCTCATATAGCCCTGCCTAGCCTAGAACTCACTGTGTAGACCCAGGCTGACCTTGAACCCACAGAGATCCTCCTGCCTCTGCCTCCTGAATGCTGGGATTGAAGGCATGTGCCACCATGCCCAACAGCCATGAATTTTTTTAGCTTGAGACTTGAGGAAAAAGTAAATACTTTACACATAATGTGTGTTATAAACATGACTGTGTGTGATTTGAGAACCTTTTATATTTGTCATTTCTTAATTAATAAAACCATCTAATGCTTGTAAAGGTCAGAAAAGTTAGAAAATAGATGAAAAATGTATCAGTTCTACATCCTCTACAAGAAAATTTTGAGCTATTGTAATAGACAGCCATGTTGATCAAATATTTAGAATGCTCTTCTACCCATTGTTATTTCATGTCATCATCTCAAGACCATGAGATTTCTATCTACATCTCTTCTCTCTTGTTTCTTCACATTGTGATTTTCAGAACCACGGAAAATGCTTTAGACAATATTTGAAATCTATATTTTCTCCTGCTATTCAAATATATAATTCTAATTAACTGCTATCACAGATTATTTTGATTTATTTTTCTACTTAGAGGATTAAAATTTATACATTCTATTTATGTCCTGTATGTTAGTTTATTTCCAATTGTGTATTCTATAAAAATTTAAGTCTTTATTGGATGTACTGATATTGTGCTATACTAGTTTATTTTCTTTCATAGCCTCCCGGACCTGTATTCAAAGTGAACTTCATCGGGATCGGAGGTATGGTTATATTTATGATGGAAGGCATATATTCTTATGACAAATCGAAATGTATTATCAGCTGGAAAATGAAATAGTTCACCTTCATAAGCAGTGTTACTCAGTTCTGCCTCATCAGTATACCTCTGAATTAATCCGTAAGTTTCAAAGATGAAGATTTTGCTTTAGAGAAGTGGCACAGTCCTTAAAAGATTCTTTTGACTTTATTTGCTGAATTCAATTTTGAAATGTTTATTAAACAGCTATTATATGTAAAACAGTATTATAATTATTTCAAAGAAATGCTTTGTAGCTCACAAGTACTTAGTAAATGTTGCCTAGGTGTATGAACAGAAGGTAAGGTAGAAAATTAGTTAGAAGGATAAAAAAGGAAGAGAGGCAGATGGGCTAGACAGATGCCTGGATGGATAAATGGTAGAGAGCTGGTTAGAAAGAGGGAAGGAGAACAGAGACTAGAGAGCAGATGGACAGATAGAAGAGAGGACTAATGGACAGATGGATGGATGTAGAATGGATGGAAGGATGGACAGGTAGGTAATGGATGGATAAAGTTTCATATGTCATCAACCCTGGTTTTGACTTTCATACAATATAGTACAGAATAATAAAGAACCAAGGATTTGGAGGGGGGTGAGATAGAGTCTCACTCTGTAGCCCAGGCTGGCCTGGAACTCAACATGTAGCCCTAGCAAGCCTTAAACTTTCAGCAATCCTCCTGAGTGCTGGGATTATAGGTGAGAGCTACTCACTCCCAACAGATCAACTTTAGATGAAACAGAATCAAGTTCAAATCCTGGCTTCAGAATTTTCCTACCATATGACTTTGAATGGGGTACTTAACCTCTTTAGCGTCTATGGATCCCATTATTAAAATGATATTGGGGCTGGAGACATGACTCAGAGGTTAAGGGCACCAGCTGCTCCTGCAGAGAACCCAGGTTCAGTTTCCAGCACCCACATGGTGGCTAAAAACTATCCATAACTCCAGTTCTGGGAAATCCAACACCCTCTTCTGACCTCCATGGGCATTGCATGACATGGGTGCACTTTCATACATACATGCAGTATACTCATATACATAAAATAAAAATAATAAACAAAATATTAAAAAATAAAATGGTGCTGATCACAGTTAATTCACAAAGTTATCATAAGGATCAATGTATATTTCTAGTGCTTAACATGTATTAACAGGTAACACATTTAGTTAGAAAGGCTATCAGCAGAGGTTTCAGGGAATGCAGTTCAAATTTAATCAGTGATTTAAAAAAAACAAATTTAATCAATGATAAGGTTATCCTGCCTCACACACTGGCATGAGACTGTGTACATATGCACAACTTTGATAAAGCATTTTTTTTATTCTTTTCATAGAGTGATAGAGAGAGGCAAGACAGGTATCATTGTCCCTACTTACAAGAAACAAGTTCACAGAAGTTGACTGACTTTCTCAGAGTCATATAGTTGGTATTCACTAGGAAATTAGGTTGAAAATAAAATTTAAACTTAAAAACGTAGAATCAGGGCTGGTGTGCTCAATAGCTTTAGTGTCAACTTGACACACCTGGGTTGAGGGAGCCTCAATTGGGGAATTTCCTTCATGGCCTGTGGCCATGTCTATGGGGCACCTTCTTGATTGTTGAGTGATGTGGGAGGACCCAGCCCACTGTGGGTGGTGCCACCCCTGGGCAGGGGGGCCTGTGTTACATAAAGTAGGCTGAGCATGGGCCAGGGGAGCAAGCCAGTAAGCAGCATTCCTCCATGGCCTGTGCTCCAGCTCCTGCCTCCAGGTTCCTGCCCTGAGTTCCTACCTTGGGCTCCTGGATGAACTGTGACCTGGGATATGTAAGCTAAATAAACCCTTTCCTCCCCAAGTTGGTATTGGTCAAAGTGTTTTGTCATAGCAATGGAGAGACAAACTAGGACAGATGGAGAGATGGCTCAGCGGTTAAGAGCACTGACTGCCTTGCAGAGGACCTAAGTTCGAGTCCCAGCACCCACATGGCGGCCATGAACCATCCTTAACTCCAGTTCCAGGGGAATCTGATGCCTTCTTCTGACCTCGCGGCATTGCACACGACAGGGATACACTCACATACATGCAGGCAATACACTAATACACATAAAATAAAAATAATAATTTTTTTAAAATGTAGAATCATAGTAAGAGAAAAAAAAAGATTTGCCTAACTCGCTACAACCCAACTATTACAGGCAAATAATCAGATCATGTACAAAACTGACCAGACATAGGTACATAGATGCCTACCAAAATCTAAAGATAACTTCAAGTTAGGACAAGAGTGAGCACAAGGAAACTTTTCACATAGTAACTCTCATTTCAGTATATGCTTTACGATAACAGAAAAACAACTCCACTGATCAGTGTGTTTTCCTACCATGCATTTGTGCTATACACTAGCTATGGAATAGAGATTGAAGAGTCTTAATTAGCCCCATCCTGTCAACTAAGGCAGGAGGAAATGCACTCCGCCTACTTATCTAAGCTTTTGAGATTCATGGAAGATGATAGTCATTTGCCTGCCTGGGTATACAATGAGACCACCCAGACCAGAAAGGCCATTTCTGAGTCCCCGGTAATTCTTACTACTTTTTTGGAAGATGGTTTTTCCTATGAGTCTCTCAACAGAGGTGGGTAGACAGCGATAATTTACTTTGCCTGAGAACCTCACTGTGGCTTCATCTTCCAGGCGCCCAGAGATCACTATTGTGGCAGCAGAGCCACTGAGGCCAGCCTCGTGGTTTCCAGGAGCCCCACCACCAGGACTGGGGTTTCCCCCGACCCCTGCAGCAGGGCCTTGGAGGCCAAATGATTTGGTTCCTGCTGAGGTAAATAAATACCATGGTACCTCTTTGCATTTTCTTCTTAAAATTAAATTCAAAGGTTTCACAGTGAGACTTTTAACGCCGTGGTCATTGCCCATAGATTTCTGAAGTTTTCATTCTTTATTTTCTAGCTCCCACCCTCCTATGAACAAGTCATAAAGGAAATCAACCAAGTTCAGGTCAATACTACAAATAATAATAATGCTGCTGCCATTCCAAGGAGCACTATTACTTCTGCAACTCAGACTGACTTTCCAGAAGAAATAGACAGCAATCTGCCTCAAAGTAATGCAAGTAATCCATCTTCTCTAATTCTGATCTAGTTCTAGGGCAGTAATCAGTAGGCCTCCAGCCTTTGAAATAATTTGCAGTTCGTGCATAATTCATTGAGCTCTGCTTCCTGGGCTTCGTGATCATTGTGTGCTTTCTTAATTTGGGTATGCAGTGATTATTATAATAGATCATTCTTGAGAACTGCGACCCCAATCTCTTGTTCATATCACAAAAGCTTCATCTGTTTAACTCACAGTATGCATTACCATGGGTCCTCTTTATTCCCACTGAGAAGGATTTTATATTTAGCAAGTTAAACTTGATAGGATGCTAAGGGTAATTGTTCCGTTAGACTTTTTCAGAGTAGGTTGCTTTGGAAAAATAAAGCCCTGGGGTTGGAGAGATGCTTAGTGGTTAAGAGTACTTGCTGCTCTTATAGAGGACTGGAATTCATTTCCCAGCACCCACACTGGCTCACAACTGCCTGTAACTTCAGGTCCAGGGGATCTGATGCCCTCCTCTGACCTCTGAAGGCACACAAACACATACACACACACACTTTTTAAAAGAAGAAAGTAAATCATTAAAGTTGGAGTTTTGACAACCAGATAGAAGTGGTTCATGTGATATCTAGTGAGAATTGGGAATTTCAGGGTGCTTTAAAATATCATATAATGAAGATCTCTTATATAAACAAATGCAAGCTAATGATAAACATTACCCCAGTGATTTTGTAATTACTTTTTTCTAACTTATAACTAAGAAAACCAAAATCTGTTGATAACCCACATGTCTATTTTAAAAATCTGTGTACCTTCTATAAGTTTTTCTTTTCTTCAAATTATAAACACTGTAACTTCTTTCTGTTCCTTCCCTCTTGTCAGCACTGCAGGCTCCTCTCAAACCTCTTCAGCCTTCCCCAGCAGCCTCAGTTGGTGACCTCCCAGCAAGCGTGGCACCTTTAATAGTCTTTGATATTTCTGAAGAACAGAATTGTCCCGAAAACCCCAGTGCTGTAAGATGTCCAGTGCCAAGACCAAGATCAAAAAGCAACCTCAGACCAGTAGCTAGAGATAATAACAATAAAGAGAAAAGTCACCAGAAAATCAGCCCAGTGAGCCCCAGAGAGAACTGGCCTCCCCAGTCTCTGTTGGACAGCAGCTGCGACTTAGATAGTCAGGCAGTGATGAACATTATGAACACAGAACAAAGCCAAAATACTATTGTTTCGAGAATCAAAGCATTTGAGGGTCAGACAAATACAGAGGTTTCGGGACCCAAGAAACCAGAGATTATTCCTCGCACGCTTCCTCCGAAGCCTGCTGTTTCCTCAGGGAAACCCTTGGTGGCTCCCAAGCCAGCTGCTAACAGAACTTCTGGAGAATGGGACTCTTGGACTGAAAACAGACTCAAAGCGACTTCCAGAGAAGGGCTCACCCCATACTCCATACCGCAAGAAGCTGGAAGCATCCCAGCAACCAAACCTGAATTGCCAAAGAAACCAACTCCTGGCCTTACACAAAGTGTGAATCATGAGATTTCCAGGGGCGGGCCAGTGGCCGAGAGCCCTGATGTAGGGAAGAAAGTCCCGACTCCTGCTCCCCGGCCCTTGCTGCCGAAGAAACCAGCCTTGGATACCCCATCTCACCCTTCAGCTCCGCGGAAACTAGTTCCAGTTCCTCCCCGACTCTCTGTAGCATCCCAAGCCAAAGCATTCAGATCAATGGGAGACGGGCCTCCAGCCAACCCCCCTGTTCCAGCTCTGCAGAGCAAGCCCCCGTGGGACATCGACCTCATCAGCTTTGATGATGATGTTTTGCCCGCCTCAGGAAGTTCAGCCGAAGAACCCATTGGTTCCAACACGGTTCTAGGTGAGTAAAACTAAAGTGGAGGGAACCTAAACTCAGCGGTGGGGTTTTAAATGGCACTTAGTGTCCAGCACATGAGTGGTATAGAGGTGTGTGTGTGTGTGTGTGTGTGTGTGTGTGTGTGTGTGTGTGTGTGTGTGTTTCAGAGATGAGATTAACAGAAATTCAGAGATGTGGAGTCCAGATGGAGACAAGAGAGAAAAGGGACTCTGGAATACATCAATTACTGTTACATGGGCCAGAAGTAAGCAGGCAGAGGCTGGGGACCAATTTGTAGGATCCAGGGACATGGCATTAGGAGGATAAGATGGAAGCTTTTCACTCACATAGTTATGTGGTGCCTCCAGAGGGGCCCCAACTGAGGGGGGCTGGGGCTGGGGGTGGGGGTGGGTAGGGTGGAATCCTACAAGAACAATTCAAAGAGCCAAACCCCAGCCACATATTGCAAGAATTCCCCCCCACCCCAACATCTTCCCCTGGGAATGCAAATTTTTGTAAATAAAACTCAATAGTTCTAAATTTGCTGCCAAGATCAGGACAATTAAATTTCCCAAGAGACAGAGTATGTTTTGTTTTTTTTTTTGCTTTTTTTCCTCACACTGTTCAGATGGCAAAGCTTATCTGTGATGGTAAAGCTTATCTCTGATTTGTAAACTAAATTGATCAACTTATTATTGATAAAATGCCTACTATTATTTACTTATAGAAGAGGAATTTGTGAGTATATAAATATTTTCCAGTTTTTTAACTGTTACCTTAAATATTTAGCATGCCTCAGAATGGAATAGAATATATGACTTCAAAACCAAATTCTGGCCAGGCATGATGGCTAGATAAAACCATAGCACTCCGGAGGCTGAGTCAGGAAGATCACAAATTCAAGGACAACCTGACCTATGTAGTGAGACTGTCCCAAACAAACAAACAAACAAAAAATCCTGCACAGGGCTAGAGACATGGCTCAGCAGTTAAGCACACTGGCTACCCTTGCAGCTGGGTTGCAATTGACTTGGGTTCAGTTCACAGCATCTATATGTGGCTAACAACTGTCCGAAATTCCAGTTCCAGTGGAATCTGATGCCCTCTTCTGGCTTCTGTGGGCATTGCATGCAGGTGGTACACATATACTGGCAGACAAAACACTCATATACAAATATAAATATTTTTTTAATCTGTATAGCACAGTGTGGGATACATGATAGCAGACATTTATTAAATATCATTCACACAAAATTTGTAACTGGCTATGGCATATAAACCAAAAAGACATACCTCTTGTCCATAAAGGGTGGAAGAAAGAATTTAGGCTGTACTGAGCTGCTGCCAGTGGTCCTAACACTGTGATAACTATCCAGACATTGTTTGTATTTAATGTGTACAACTCAGACATTTGATCTAATACAGAAACCCTCTATGAGAGATCATTGGCTTCACTTTACTGATGAAGAAAATAAACTGAGAGATTATCAGTAAATGTTTACTTCACGTAATAAAACTGTTTTCCAGTTGGGCATGTTGGTGCACACCTTTAGTCCCCACACTCTGGAGGCAGAGGCAGGTAGATCTCTGTGAGTTCAAGGCCAGCCTGGTCTACATAGTGAGTTCCAGGCCAGCTAGGGCCACAGGGAGACCCCGTCTCAAAGACCAAAAAAAAAAAATGTTTTCCAAGGCAAAAATCAAATTTAAACTCTGTGTGTGCGCGTGCGTGCATGCGTGCGTGCGTGTGTGTGTGTGTGTGTGTGTGTGTGTGTGTGTGTATGTGTGTGTGTGTACACACTTCCACTTTATCTGATGCTTGGGGTCAAATCCACGGCTTCATGCATGCTAGGTAAACATAACCTAACTGATCTACATCCCCAGCCCCCAAACCCAGTCTTTTTATTTTAAGTTGGTTTATTTTTCATGACCTCATATTTGCTACCCAACATTTTCATGACTTTTTAAACAAAGCAAAACTAGAGGCATTGCAATTGTTGCCAATATCATTTTCTTATCTAAACCTTTTTGGTGATACAAACTTCAGAGAAGGGCCTGGATAGCAAGCTGGTGAGGGGGGTGGGCACAATGCAAACAAGAGAACATTACGTTTTTTAGAACCTGGTAGGGACAATGAGAATGGCAACTTGGTAAAATGCTGAGAATTTATTGTCTCATAAGCTGGTAATTACGGATACCTTCAAAATGGAAGCTCAACAACAGACATCCAGTGTGACCTCAGTCTTGTGCTGTAGACTCAGCCTTCTCTGCTTCTTCATTTCTGACCCTTCATTCCACAACATTTCATTATTAGGGCTGTCTTTTAGCCAAAAGTATAATTTGTGTGCCTCACCTGACTTTAACCATTGGTCTTGTCTATGAAGTCATACTGAATTAAATGTTTTCTCTTTTTGAAAGCCTATTCCTTGTCCTGTGCTTTGCAACTCACTTGATGACACCCACACATAAACAGCCTTCCCTAGAGAAACCAAGAGACCACCCTTGAATCTTCTCGCCATGTCACACAGTGACTAGCTATTTGGATCTGGAGTTGACCAGGGTCTTCCTTAGTTGCTATGTGACCTTCAGAGATTTTCCTAACCAGGCAGTGCCTCTGTTTCCAGTAATAAAACCCCTCATGAAGAATATTGCCAGGGCTAATGTGATTATGTGAGGAAGCCCTGTCACTATTTCAGATAGTATGTAATGATTGCTTCTCCATTTTCACATCCAGTTAGTTACAAGCACCTGCCGGTTTCACCTTGTGACCAGTTCTTGAATCTGCCTCTCACTTCCATCTCCTTATCCTGTCCCACTTTCAGCCTTAGTGCTCAGATAGCTGCAGCCTCCTCAAACCCCCAGCATCTTCTGAACTATGGCCTCCCAAGGGACTTTTCTAGAGTGTACACTGGCCTTGTGACTTCCCTCATTGCTACCCTCCAAAAGCATTTATGATCATCTTGGCTACTGATCTGGGACTTTGTGATGTCGTCATGGTGTTTTGGTGGCATTACTGCTATAAATAAAGGTTTACGGTCTTTGTGAAACCTTGCCTGGTTGGTCCAGGCAGCAACCAGAAACTGGGAGAGGAACATAGAAGAAAACCAGAAGTATGTCTTTCCTTCTCTTTGTTTTCTCTCGTAATGAAAACATAATAAAAGTGTTCATAAAATGAAGTTGCCATATTAATCTCAGGAAATAGAGATCAGAAAATACTGACACTATGAAAACATTGTAAAGATTAGAAAAATTATTAAAGGAAAACTCATAAAACAGGCAATTTAATATTGGATTCATTTCTGAGGTAGAATGCCTTGCAGGTTAATGTGATAAAACTGAGAAGTATTAGCAATTTCACTTCACACTCTTACAAATCATGCCCAGTTGTCAAAAAGAAAAAGCAGGATGCTGCCACTGTCAGTCCCACACAGACCCGAGTAATAGTGCAGCATCCAGTCTCTGCCATTAAACAGAACTCCGGAGAAGGAATGACAGAAAGGCAAGCCAGTGATAGTGAAACTAATTATGATGACAAGCATATGATTACAGGCAGGGAATGGGCAGAAAATGACTTTATCATCTGTGTTGTTATCAGCCTCGTAATGAAGACAGTGTGGATGTAGGTGTAAAGGGGCTGCTTGTTTGGGAACAAATATAGACTATTGGTGTTGGTATAGGAGGCCAGAAGGAGGACAGAGTGAATGCTGCAAATAAAAATACATAAAGATGCCACTGATGTTTCTAGATCTGGACACCAGATGCCTCTTGTGATGCACAAGTATCTATAATAAATTATGACTGTGTGGGACTGGAGAGATGGCTCATCTGTGGGCATTGCATGCATGGGTGCACATACATGCAAGGAAAATATGAGTATACATAAAATAAAAATAGATTTAAAGGGTCTGGAGAGATGGCTCAGCAGTTAAGAGCACTGGCTGCTCTTGCAGACGACCCAGGTTTGATTCCCAGCACACACATGGCAGTTAACAACCATCCTAACTCCAGTTCCACGGACTCAGACACCCTCTTCTGTCTTCTGCAGGCACTGCACAACACAGGTGCACTCACATACATGCAGGCATCACACTCATACACATAAATATGAAAATTTTAGAACCCAAGTGCAGGAGACTAGGGGTATATAGCTCAGTTGGTAGAGTGCTTGCCTAGCATGCATGAAGCCCTGCATTTGATCCACAGCACTGCATAAGCCAGATGTGGTGGTGCATGCCTATAATCCCAGTACCCAGGGACTGGAAACAGGAGGATCAGAAGCTAAAGGTAACCTCAGATACATAGTGAGTTTGAGGTGTCTTGAATACATGAGACCTCATCTCAAAAAAAAAAAAATACAAAGCAGGAGCTGGGGAGATGGCTCAGTAGTTAGGAGCACTGGCTGCTCTTTCAGAGGACTCGAGTTCCATTCCCAGCATCCACATGGCAGCTAACAACCACCTGTAACTGCAGTTCCAGGCTATCTGATGCCCTCTTACAGACTCCGTAGGCATTGCACATATGTGGTACTCATATACATGCAGGCAAAATACTCATAAAATAAATTAAGAATTTTTTTTAATTAAAGACAAAACAATCAAGGAGAATAGTATTCCTGATATTTTAGCTACTGTTTGTGTTTTTAAAAAGTCTTATGTAGTGTGTTTGGAAGGACTATGAGAAGTTGGTAACAGAAGATGGGAGTCCTGGCTTTCATTTTGTGTGAAGAACCCATTTAATTTGCAGCCCATTTGTGCTATCTTTAACAAAATAGTTTATTTTGTTTGTTTGTTTATATATTTATTTGCATTAGCATATCATCACTGTGTAGCCCAGGTTGGCATCAAACTTACCATCCTCCTGTCTTGTTCTCACAAATGTCAGGATCACAGTATTTCCACCATGCCCATCCCAGACACTGTTAATTTTTAATTATGTTTATTTATCATGTGTGAGTTGCATGTATGTACATGCCCCCAGACTCCTAAAATCAGTTTTTAAAAATATTTTATTATTTTTATGGTATGTGC